GCATGAACACACAAACACACCCACACACCCGCCCACACACACGCACGCACGCACGCACGCATGCACGCACGCAGGCACGCACGCACGCACGCACGCAGGCACGCACGCACGCACGCACGCATGCATGCACGCACGCACCCACACACACACACACACGAACAAACAAACAAACAAGCGCACACACACACGAACACAATCACAAGCACAACACAAGCACAAGCATATGCACAAGCACACGTGCAAGCACAAACACAAGCATAAACCACAAACACAGACACAGACATAACCACAACCACAACGACAGACACAAGCACAAACACAAACACACAAACAGACAAACACACAAGCACACAAGCACACAAGCAAACAAGCACACAAACAAACAAGCAAGCAAGCAAACAACCAGACAAACAAACCAAACAAACAAAGAAACAAGACAAACAAACAAACAAACAAAACAAAAAAAACAAACAAAACAATCAAGCCAAACAAACCAAACAAACCAAACAAACCAAACAAACCAAACAAAACCAACAAAACCAACAAATTAAACAAAACGAACAAAACAAACAAACCACACAAAGCAAACAAAGCAAACAAAACAAACTAAGCAAACAAAAAAGCAACCAAAACAACCAAAACAAACAAAACAAACAAAACAAAGATAACAAACAAAACAAACAAACCATCAAACAAGCAATCAAACACACAAACAAATAAAAACATAAACACATTCACACACACACACACACCAACACCCACCCACACACACACACACACAGACACACACACACACACACACCCACACACCCACCCACGCACGCACAAGCACACGCACGCGCACGCGCACACACACGCGCGCACGCGCACACACATGCGCACACACACACACACGCATAAGTTTATATATTGCATATACAAGCTGGGAGAGATTTCTGCGCTGGGTCGCGAGAAGCAATGTGTACAGATTCGAAGGCTCGTGCAGGGATGCCTGACGAATGTTCTACCTCTCGACCATACAAGTCGTTGTGGTGCGGCTAGTTTCAGCTGTTTGGTTTGATGGTCATTGTTTGGCTATTGTGTTACCAAGCCTTCGGACACTCAAGCTCGGCGCTGAGCTTGCAGCAAGCATCCATCCTGGAGCATGCCTCAGGGAAGCGGGCAAAGAAATTCCAAAGAATGTACAGTCGTTTTGCGGTTTTTAGTCAAGAGGGCGAAAGATGATGCAACAGCATAGTCAGATAAGCATTCATGCGCATGGTCATTATCCATTTGAGAACAATCCTGCCACAGCCACCACAACCACCACAACCACCACAACCACCACAACCACCACAACACCACAACCACCACAACCACCACAACCACCACAACCACCACAACCACCACAACCATCACAACCATCACAACCTCAACCACTTCAACCACTTCAACCACTTCAACCACTTCAACCACTTCATCCACTTCAACCACTTCAATCACTTCAACCACTTCAACCACTTCAGCCACTTCAGCCACTTCAACCACTTCAACCACTTCAACCACTTCAACCACTTCAACCACTTCAACCACTTCAACCACTTCAACCACTTCCACCACCACCACCGCCACCACCGCCACCACCACCACCGCCGCCGCCGCCACCGCCACCGCCACTGCCATCGCCACCGCCTCGGACCCTCTCCACTGCCACTGCCACTGCCCACTGCCCACTGCCCACTGCCCACTGCCCACTGCCACTGCCACTGCTACGCCACCAACACTGTTATCACCGCCAGCACTACACTCCACCAGGTTCCACCAAAACCAGCAGCAGCCATGACATCCTTGTTCTCGTCATCTGGCAGCAGGAGCTGACCTGAGAGACAGCCCGCTTAGCACGTTTGCAGAGAGCGAGTGATGGAATCGCTAGAAGTGGCGAGTAGACCTGAGCGTAGGCGACGATCCTGACATTTAACCATGAGCTGGGATGCCCAGGCAATGTGAAGTTTTACTATCTTCGTGGGCCTTGGGGAGTCATCCCCGAGGTTCCCAGGAGACACTTCTTACTGAGCGCACCCTGCGAGCCGGCGAGTTTAAAGACGGCTTCCATGTGCGAGAAGAGGCTGGGGATCGACATGCTGAGAAGGTTTCAGGTTGCGGGCTCGTAGCATGGACCGATAGGACTGTGAATGCCATTTGTCATAGTTCAATGTCGAGAGACTTGTGGTGCAATACTCAGCAAAAGAACATTGTTGCTAAATCGCTGGTCCTCTCAAGGCTGCGATAACTACCAATATCTTCATTGGTGCCACAACTACTGCTATCGTCATGGTTGTCCCAAGAAGGGAAGAAGGGTTGTCGGCCTGTCGAAGCTTTGCAATCGCAGCAGCAACAGCAGTTGGAAGTGTCAGCATCGGAAGTAATTCTACCAAGTCAGCAGCAGCTTCACCTCAGCTAAACAGGTCTCGGAGCAGTCAGTGTCCATATGAGCTGTTGGAAGACGTACTCGTCAATCTCCGCCTCACTCTGTGCGGCTTCTATCTTTTTGATCCTATGTGCCCGCATGCCACACCAAGAAAATCTGATGCACCTGCCTGCACAGGTTTCTGCCAAGCTAAGGTGGTGAGTGACAGGGGCTGAAGCTCAAGCTCCTTTCACATAGACGGAGTGCTGGTAAGTTTGTCGAGACACATCTTTGCAGATTTGTTTCTGTGCTCCAGGCTTCGGAGAGACGCCCCGACCGGTCGCATTTTTCGTTTTCCTTGTTCGTTCTGATGTGCGGCTGTCCTCGCATTATTCTAGCAATCATGCTGGATCTGGCATGTGGCACCTATGATGGCCAGCTGCCAGAAGACATCTGTGACACGACCGGCCAATGCGAAGTCTCTCTCCGACAGCTGCGCGGGGAGGCTCGAGAAGCAGGTTTGTCGACACGTAGCTATGCACCTCTGATCCTGTGCTCACCTTGCTGGCGTTTTTGCCACAAAAGACTCCTTAGCGGAACAGTTCAACAGCTGGGCAGGTGAAGTTGCAGCAGGACATGGACATGTGGCGCCAGAACGAAAGTGCGGATGCAGCGATGCATGCTGATAGGGTCGAGGCGATCTTGGACGTGTATTTCAAGGACACGCCACAGTCGTAGCCGTAGACTGCAGATCATCGAAATAACAGAAGCTGCTGTTAATGTTGCGTGTGCGCTGGTTGCTACCGAACTGGAAGTGAGAAACGGAATGTACATCGCAGGCTGCATGCACAGCATTATCCACGCTGCCACCATACTGCGGATCTCCGCTATGTATACAAAAGTATATGTATACACATATATGCATTATTTATTCATTTATCTATTTCCAATTTTACGTATGTACATACATACATATATATATATGTGACTCTTTCTATTTATCTGTCTGTCGGTCAACCAATCAATCAATCTATTTATTTATTTATTTGTGACTTCATGTATTTATGTATCTATTCATCGAGCTATCTATCTACCTACCTATCTGTCTATCTATCTGTTTATCTATCTATCTAACAATCAATCAATCGCTCTATGTATCTAGCTAGCTAACTGTCTCTGTGGGCCTCTGTGTGTGTGTAAACGCCTGGACACGGCGTCAAGTATGCACAGGGGGGCGGGGGAGGTGTGACGGGGCTCCGCCCAACGAAGCTCTCCCTCACACCTCAGGTAACGTACCTGCGTTGGTCTGCGCCTGGGCCCCGTCGATTGGCAGCTGGCGGGACCCACTGTAATCTGTCTTTGCATTGGGATGCTCGAGGTTCGCCTCATCAGTTCTTGCCAAGCCCAAGTGTGTCTGTTCTGGCGGATGTGGGACGTTGACGAGCAGACTTTCAAAGACATAAGGTCTATCATCATCACAGGTCAGGTTTCATTTTCCGGTGCTGTCCGATGCCATCATTTTTGTTCACTTTGGAGCAGACGCCAGGGTCAACGCTTGTTGTTAGAGCAGCTTCATATGCAAGGCTTTCTTGAGAAAAGGTTCAGGTATCTCGACTCAGGCAGGTTTGAGGCAGCGAGGGTCTGCAAGTGATTTCGTGCGTGACCATGTGCTCATGAGTGCACGTGCAAGGCTTCCTCTAAAAGTGTAACCTGTTGGGTTTTGCTTTCCAAGGTTGCGAGGCTGTTTAGGACCGAGGCTGCAAGGCTGTGACCGCGTGTTTTCATGCCGCCTACATGCAGTCATGTTTTCGAGCTTAAACTCTTTCTGTTGTGTTCGGCTTCCGCTTGGGCCAGTCAAGCATGGTGCTGCAGCCCGGTTTATTCAGGACATATGTGATATATGTGTAGGTGTGGAAACGGTTGATTTGGCGAGTAGTTTCCACATTGAAGCAAGAGGCCAGGACCCAAGCCTCACACGACGACGGCCGGAGGCCAGGACCCAAGCCTCAGCGACGACAAAAGGCCAGGACCCAAGCCTCACGCGAGGACAAGAGGCCAGGACCCAAGCCTCACGCGACCACAGCACGAGGCCAGGACCCCAAGCCTCACATGACGACTGCATGAGGCCAGGACCCAAGCCTCAGCGACGACAAGGACCCTAGCCTCGCAACCGGAGGCCAGGACCCAAGCCTCACCCAAAAAACAGGTATTGGGCCTCCGCTTGGGCCAGTCAAGCACCTTTTGCTGCAGCCCGGCTCATCCCGGGCCTGTGTGTGTGTAAACGCCTGGACACGGCGTTAAGTATGCGCAGGGGGGCGGAGGAGGTGTAAGGGGGCTTTGGCCAACGAAGCTCTCCCTCACACCTCAGGGAACGTACCTGCGTTGGTCTCTGGCGGGACCCACTGTAATCTGTCTTTGCATTAGGATGCTCGAGGTTCGCCTCATCANNCTTGCCAAGCCTAAGTGTGTGTGTGTTTGGATGTGTATATGGGCATCTATGTATGTGTGGGAATGTGCATACGCCTCGGTTAGTGGGTTCCCTCCCCTCAGGAGGACTTGGACACACTGCTGGGACGGGTGTTAATAAGTTTTTAGGCTTTCAAGGTTATGTCCATATGCCGGGGTGGGGGCGAAAGCGGCGGGCATGGGGGGTGTGGCGAACCGGGAACCGGATGCATGTGGCAAAATCAGGTTGAAGCGGTTGCGGCTTTTGTTTTTTCGCGAAAACAAGACCAATTCACACTGTCACCAAGAAGCTAACATGAATGAGAAAGCAATGCCGTTTTCAAAAATTCCACAAGAGGTACGCCAAAGACGGCAAAACAACAATCTTTTAGCTTTAAACCCCAAATTGATATAGGCAAAGCAAGTAAACTAGTATGAAAATACGTACAAACATGAACACATGAATGCATGTGAAAGTACATGTACATATATGTGTATGTACAGGCGCATATATGCATAAATTCATACATACAAACGTACGTACGTACGCACCCACGAACCTACGCACGTACGTACGTGAATACGCGTGTGCCCGCATAAATCTGCTGCAAGCGCCTCGATGGCAAGTTTTGCCGGGCTCCATGCTGCGTGAGTGTGCATGGCAAATTTTGGTGGGGTGGAGAAGCTCTTAGACCAAGTAGTCCCATAGATAGTCCACAGCGTCTGTGGTCCATGAATGCATGCTGAAAACATGATGGCCTGTTTGCTGTTGCGGGACAGAGATTGAATTTCACCGACAGTTCTGCACTTAAATGCAAGCTCTGCATTGTATGTGTGCCTTGCCATAGAAGCTTCAAGAGGACGAAGCTTCGGTCCATTCCCTGGGTCATCTTACCGCGCGCAGCACTAGTCGAAGGGAGATGGAGTCGCCTGTAGCTGTGTAGCGGTTGGTGTTCGTTTTTTCGGGTTGGCCTCAGCCTTTTGATACTCTGCGATCTCCGGCAACCTCCTTTTAAAGACCCTTGCTGGCTTAACAAAACACCTGCCGCTATGCAGGACATCAACATGACCGGGCGTCGCATCGCGGAGGCAATCCATAATGAACAAACTTGGGCAGAGTGTGCTAGTGTGGACTGGACGCAAGAGGCGTTGGAGTTCGATTCCACAGGAAAGCTCGGGGAAATGAGGAAGCGGTTGGGAGTGGATGCATACTGTGCCAAGAAGAAAACGGACGTCACATGCCTGGCAATTGAGGCCCCGTGCTTGCTTCTACAGAGCTGGTAATCAAAGGTTTGAGTCCTAGGTTCGCCAATGCTGCAGTGAGCGAATACGGAATGCACCCTTCTTGGGTGAAAGGCTCTGTGAAGAGGCCTGTGCGACGAGAGATGCCCCCTGGGGCCGAGGTGTTGGACCCTACGGGCGTGGTGGGATTCGGTGTTTGCTCAATTCTCCGAACCGTTCTGACCGGCAGCCCACACCAACAGCAGCAGGGAACGTGCGGGTGGGTTTCAAGCCTCGGGGCACTGAGCTGGGCAGCCCCGGCCCAGGCAATCAAGATGGGTATGCGACTCTTCTGGACCGGAACCATGTTGAAGTCCATCAAGACGTGCGCCAACATCTATGACTTGCAGCCAGGACTTGTGCCCCTGGTGAAAGGATCCGCGGAGCGCGTGCTCTGCTACAAACGCTGCCACACCTTCGAGGGATGGCAGCCAGTTCAAGCTTCTGGGGTGACGGCCATGTGGACCTATGCATTGTTGAGCAGCATCGTTGAACATCCCCAGGGTTGTCCGATACCTTCGGCGATCAACGTCGTATACACCGACATGGAGTTCGAAGATCCTGAAGCCTGGCAGCAGTTCCGGCAAATCTCGGACCAGGGCGAGAATCAATCGATAGCCATGTGTAAGCGTCTCATCAGCCCTGACTGCGACATAGCCTGGCTGGATGGCAGGGGCGACTCGGTCGCTTTGGAACGGGCTTGCAAGGTCGTCGAGAATGGTGGTGTGGCGCTGACTGTCGTCGACGGTAAACCCCTCTCTACCGCATCCACGAAGCCATCGCAGCCCGGGATCTACGTGGGCGATTTACTTGCCAAATTCGGTATCGGAGACAAAAGCAATCATGTGACCTACCTCCAGAGCTGCGACCCGGAAAGAGACAGCTATGCCATTTGGACTTGGGGAGGTCCCCTGTACCTTACCAAAGAGAATCTCATCGGTTCCACGACGTCTCCCGGGCAGCTCCTCTTTGCAACGCTTTTGGCAAGGAAGGTGCACATCTTCGATGACTAAGCCGTTGAGCCAAGTCAGCGTCAGTTTAGCTGGCTTATATAGCTCCAAATTGCTTGAACCAAAGTGTCCTAGCACGAGAGCCGGCTGAATGCATGGCATGCAATGTCCAATTTCGAGATTCTGAATTTCACGCATTGATTTTTTGGATCCGAGCTTTCAGCTCTGGTCACCCCCAGAAGGCTTTTGAAGAGAGCTTCGCGTTCGACTTGTGTGGTGATTTCTCTGTCTTCAGTTCGCAGGTGCTGGCTGAGGTCAAAAGGTTGCAGAAGGCCGACACCCCTGAGTAGAGCAAAACGGAAATCTGCACTTGCACTTTGAGGCCAGGAATGCCCGAGATGTGTGAAGTCTGGTCAGCGAACTTCGGAAATTTGCAATTCCCAGCGTCAACCGTTGCTGGATGTTGAGAGACAGTCACCAAATTAGCACCGCAAGCGCGATTTCGTCGGCACGAGCGGTTTTTTCAGCTTTCGCTGCAGAGCCGCCGCCCGAAGCACAGAGCAACCCGAAACCAACCAACACTTTCAACCTGGCACCAGCAGCCGCTTGCGGTGAGCTTGAAAGGACACGTGCCGCATGCAGCCGAGACCATAGACTACATCGCAAGCTATGGCAACAACTGAGCTAGGCCTAGCACCCCTGTTCTCCAATCCATTCTTCGCTTCCTCTGCACGCGCCGTGCAACTGCCCAAGAGGCACGGAGCAAGGTTTACCGATGAAATCTCGACTCGACCTTTGACGCATCAATATGAAACCCAAAGCGCTTGGAGTCCGAAGCATGCTCCCTGTTATCGTATTGACAACCAGGCTATTGAAATTTCCCGAACGGCCTTAGCCAAACCCAAAAAGCCCTAGAAGTCTGGCTGCTGTGGAGATCCGGGCGGTAAGGTTTAGGATCAGGATTTAGACGGCACTGGATTCAAGTTTATGTCGTTGTAGATCAGGGTCATGCCAGAAGACCGTAAATCACAGCCCCCAGATGTGATTAAACAGATCTTAGGTGTCATTCCCCCGTGGGTTCAGGGTCTAGCTTTGCCGCTCGAACCGTCGCTGGGTTCAATTAGCACATGTGTGTCGGAGTTTCGTCAAGACCCAGAACCTTCAACGCCTAAAGCTTTGCACCTTAATCCCCGAACCCTTCCAGCCTTCTCGTCTGTTTTCGGATTTCTGTGGTTCGGTGAGTTGGTGCTTTGCCTTTTCGGATATGTGGAGGGTTGAGGATGCAGGGTCACCAGGTAAAGGGCGGCGGATCGGCGCACTTTTCAGAGTAGTGAAGTGACAGGCGACCTCTGTCAACGTCTGGCTGCTTAAGGGCTGCAGTGATTGAAAACCAATATCTGAGACACCCCAAACTCGAAATCCAAAGCCCACAAAACCCTGCAAAGCAGTGTACAGATACTGAGTCCCTTTCTGTATATCATATATGCCATGTCGCAAAAAACAAGACCGTTACAGCTGTAGATGCGGAAGTAGGCTTGTTGTGTACGTAGGTGGTATAGGAACAATTGCGACAATTGCGACATCCCACGACAGCCGGATGGAGGTTGGCCCATGAGCTGGTACGTCGGTGAGGCTCGGTGAACGAGCATAGGGTTGTACGTGTTAGGGTTGGGGGTTTTGTGTTTGGATGTCTAGGAATTGGAGTTGAGGTTTCCGTGGAATCCGACAGAGTAGATGTGGGTTCGTAACGCAAAGCACGCACCATGCCGGGAGCGAAAAACATCCCATCGCAGTCAGGCTGACATTCGAGAATGATCTACTGCGGTACACCGAGTCATCGCCATAACAGAGAAAGGGGGGCCCAGACGACGCCAGCTTGTCCGCGGGAAAAGCATCTGTCATCCCGTGCTCTGCATCCCCTCCACCGCTCGTTTTCTGTTGAATTTCCAGGCAATCTTCGAAGCTCGTCCTTGTACACCGAGCGAAGATAGTCTTAACTGTCTTCGCACCATCCCATGAGAGTCCATGAGCCTCTCTTTAATGCAAAGAAGTTTGAGGCTGTAACAGGTCTGTGATGCCCCTCGATGTCCTGGGCTTCAATCGCGCTACGCTGCTGCACGCAACAAGTTTGCAATATTGCCTGAAATGGCTGGGTAATCTTTTGATATGCATCGAGATGGGGGTAGATCACTGCAATTCTTGATCTTCAAGGAGAAATTCCCGCTAGCAGAACCGAAAACAAATACTCTGAAACCCGGAGGATGGAGAGCAGATCTGGATCAACCGCGACTCAACGGCCAAAGCCTGAGCTCCTGAGCTCCAGGCTTTTCTCTCATGATATCTTGGAGACTTTCAGCGCTTCGAGGCTTAATGCCTTCATGAGGGTTCATCTCGGTAGATGATTCTCCGTTCAGGACCTTTTGGCTGAAACTTTTCACCCGGAGCTCCAGCTTCCACCATCACGTTCGATTATTCCTGTTCGTCTGGGGTTTCTGCTTTTCACACTTTGGCTGAAAGTCTGGGCGGTTTAGCGTGACCTGCAAAGTGTAACCAGACCCCCAGCAAGACAAAATGCACAAGTGATCTGAGCACGCATGTTCTCTTCAACTTGGTCGAGGGGTACTTTCCTCACGTGCACCGTTGTCTAGGCATAGAAGCATGGCTTTTGTTTGCCCCTACCCTGCCGAATCATGAGCACGTGCTGGGAAAGAGCACAGGGCATCATGGGTATTTGCGCGTTGATAGGCTGAGGACTGAACCGAAAGGGCCGCTACTCTAAAATCAGCGAAGGAGGCTACACAAGCCGCTGAAATTTCGAGGCCCCCTCAGCGGCCTCAAGAGCAGTGTAGCCTGCACCAGAGCCCTTTCCCCGCCTGAGGAAGGTGTCGAAGTTTAGTTGGTAGATGTTTGTGCTACTGTAGTTCATGCCAGACCTTCTTGATTGACTGAGCCTTACCGACCCGGGTTCATGAAACAAGCTTGGACGTCGCGAGGTCTACACCGTAGTCGTTTCAGCCCGGGTGCCCGGTCACACAAGACTACGAAGAGTGAAGTCTGACATTTTTGGGATACCTCCTCGCCGAAACTGTGGACTGCGGGTGCTGCTGTGCGGAGGAGGTAGGTTAAGGGGTGTATTGCCTCGGGATTTTCAATGAGAGGCTTGCAGGAGCTGCTGGCCTTTTGCAGGTCCTTGCTTACTTACGGCTTAAGGCTTGGAGTCCAAGGTTTGCAGGCTTCTTTGTTCCGGCTGGGGTTGCTTTCCAGGAAACAGATTTTGTGCTTGCACATTAATTTATTCAAGTCTCCAGTCCTCAGCAGACTCCCAAGCAGCAGGCACAGTGGAACCACAGAAGCCAGCTGGTGCGAAGTGCAGTGTATTCGTCCGGAGCGCTGAGGGTTTCAACATGACCTCTGAATTCTGCACCCATGCCAGGATGCGCCACTCCCGTTGGAGCACTTGACGTGCGCTGGATTGGGATGCGGGGAGTGCAGGGTCTGCGATTTTGGGCTTGTGGGAGTGGAGACATTGATGGTTTTGGCACCAGGTCTACTTTAAAGGGGTTCTGGTTCAGTAGTTCCGTTCTGCCAATGACTCGGAGTTGCATTCTGGGAATCGCGTCATGGCTTAGCATCTATATAAGCCCTAGCCTAAACCACGAAGGTGTGGCAATGCAATGGGCTCCAAACCAAAGCACAGAGCCCAAGCCCTTCCACATGTCAGGGTTTCAGTTGATACTGAGCGCAGCTTCTGGCTGAGCCTCTTCAGCGACGTTTTGCTATTGTCAACATCACCGACTCGATTTGAGTGTTATCGTGGATCCAGGACAGATGCCCTCAGTCGCCCCCCGAAATCCTCTAGTGATTCTAGTGTAGACCGCTAAGTTGCAATATCCTGACTTGCCTGCATGGCGCCTTTTCGCGTCTTCGACGATCTGAAGGACAAGGATTGGCGTGTGCGCCTTAACGCGACCTTGTCAGCACTGCTCGGCTTTGCTCGGCTCCAGGTGGGAGGTCTCTGTGGTCTCTTAGGTTCAGACATGTTGGACGGGTAGTAGTCAAGGCGTTGAATCCGACAAAGAGACACAGACATGAAAGTGGTCAGGATTTGTGTTCGTGGTGACAGTGCTCCGAAATCTCTTGTTCACAAAGCTGCGCAGCTGGAGATTGTTTTTTGACTATTGCCGGCTTGTTTCGCGACACTTAACTAGATTCTAGCTAGATGCCCAGTTCTTGGCCGCGGGCAGCGGTCTTGGACATGAGTCCTGCATAGGCTTGTCAACAAAGCAGACTTGCAAGATCCATCTAAACGAGCCAGCGACACTGCCCTGAAGCTCCAAACCCCGAAGCCCCTGAAGCTTCAGAGGCCGCAGAGTTGAAATGCAGAGCTCTGGATCTGAGGCCGTCCGCATCCTTGCAGCGCTGCCGCCGCCCGGTGCCCCGTCAGCGCTCGCATCAGCGCTCGCGGACGAGGTGGCTTTTGTGCTTGGACACCTGTAGTCCCCAAAGTCACTGTGCAAAAGACTCACGGCCCTAAGGAGACGAGGTTTACCTTTGCTTTCCGAAAGCGGAAGCCCCACTCCGACGCAGAAACAACCCAAGACCGAATCCCTGCAACCCAAGCCCTGGAACCCCAAGGTTCAAAGCTGAACGTTGGGCATCTAAAATCTGAGGCACCTGGTGAGCATACGTCAACAACAAGCCCTGCACACATCGTCTCCAATGCTTCAATGTGCCGCAAGAGGCCGCTGGCGTCCGCTGGGCCGCGCTCGAAGCCCTAGGTGCAGCTCTTGAGGTCTCGAATTCAGCATTGCATGAAAGGGATTCAAAAATTCTGGTCTCAAACCTGCGCGTCAAAATGCGAGGGGTTGACAGCTTTTGGGGCTTGGATCTAGGATGTAAAGGTTTAGGATCTGATTTCGGGTGCTGGAAGGATTCAGGCTTCGAGTCTCAGCTTTGGTGTTAATGTGCAGTATTCGATATAGGCTGTTTTGCAGCTGTGGATTTCCGCGAAGGAGGCTGTATGAGGTGGTGTTTGAACACCCGAACTCTCCGAGAACAGCCTA